TCGTCGAGCATGAGCGAGTGGATCCTGCGCCTGCGCGCGACGCGGCCGCCCTGGTCCGTCCTCCTCAAGCACGCGGCGCGGCCCGACCCTGGAGTCGACTGCCACAGCGCGTGGTGCTTCGAGGTCCCGCCGTCTGAGCGGAAGGCCCTTCCGCCGCCGCCGGAGCCCAAGCTGGCCCCGTCACGCCGCGAGTCGCTCGACGGCCCGCTCTACGCCGACGAGCTCGCCGCGTACAACGCCGCTCGGCGACAGGAGCACGGCGGCGGCCAGGGCCACGGCGGCGGCCAGGGCCACGGCGGCGGCCACGGCCGGCGCCGGGGCCAGAAACGCGGCGGCGGCGACGGCAAGCCCACGATGGTCCGGGAGTCGTACCAGATCCGCGCGAACAGCCTCGGCGCGGGGCAGGGCGAGCGGCGCGCGTCCTGGTCGTCGCCTTTAAACTCGGGCGCCTACTCGTGAGCCACGCCTTGGCAACGGTGGCGCCTAACATATCCCGCCGGCGGGATATGTTCACATCGGCCCGGAGGGAGCGGAGGTCGGCGACGCGGGCGATGTCGAGGACGAGCTCTTACGTCGCGCTCTTGACGATGGAAAGGATCCGCCACGCCCATGGAGCCGACGATGTCCCCGTCGACCTCGAAGTAGTCGGGCCCGGAGAAGTAGGGTAGTGGCCCCGGCGAGCTTGGCGTTGCCGCCGACGGCGCGGCGCGAGCCAGTTTCTCAACTTCAGCCGCGCGTCGCCGTTCGCGCGCGCGCACGCAGATGACGGAGTTGCCCAAAGGGCATGCAAAAGTTGAGGTCGAACTCGAAGACCTTGCCGCCGTCCGGCCCTTTGCGACGAAGGCGCCCGGGTGGCGCGCGACGTGGAGCTGGGGCACGTCCGTGAGGAAGAGGGCGCACAAACTCGGCGCGCTCGGCACCTTGACGCGGTCGCAGAGGTAGCCGCCGCCGCGGGCTCGCTCCGGCGGTGCCCATCGTTCGTCGACGGCTAGGGCGGCAGGCCGCAGTGCGCGTCGCGGTCGTCGTCGGCGAGCGACGCCGCGGAGCCGCCCGGCGACGCCGCATCCGCGCACTCGTTGTCGCGGCCGTCGGCGTCGGACGCGCGCGTCGTCGCGGCCGTCGTCTCGGACGTCCCGCGGGGCGCCGAGCGCCTCGAGGATCGCCGCGGACCGCGCGTTGGGCAGCGCGCCGACGATCGACGCTCCGGGTGTGAAGTCGTCGCTCGAAGTCACCGCGTCATTTCCGACCTTCTCCGGTGGCAGCGCCGGCGCGGCTGCCTCTTGTCGTCCCAAATCTGGGCGCGTTCGCGGTCGCGTCGATAGCACCGACATCGCGTCGATCGATCTGCTGAAGTACAATAGTAAAGAAATAAATAAACACAAACTAAACATATACTATTGTACCTAGGTGGAGGTCGTATTAGAGATACTACGGCAGCTGAGGTCCCGTGGGGATGTGCGTTCACCCTCGGACAGCAGGGCAACCCATCTAGGCTGCCCCCTGCCCCTGAGTTTACTATCTCGCTAGTAGTCAGACTACCTAGCTTCTGCCCCCGCTGGCTGTACACTCCTTCAGTTCGCTGTCTATAAAATTTGAAACTGGAATAGTATAACAGAGACGCCGGTGTACCGCCACTGCGTAGCCTCGATAGTTCACCCTCGGACAGCAGGGCAGCCCCACTAGGCTACCTTCCTCAGGCTGTCCCCGAGTTTACTATTTCGTTAAATAGAATGTATGGAGTAGGAGCACAGTGGGATAAAGTGCAGTTCGCTAATAATAATCTACATATGCTCGCGCTTCAGTCGGCCGGTCTCCTCCTCGTGCTTTGTCCGCATGGCCCGGGACTTGAGGCTCTCGAACATGGCGTCCGCGGCCGCGGGGCCCGCGGACGACAGCCGCCGGAGGCGGCTCGCGTGCTTGAGGCGCGTCGCGGCGTCCGCGGTATCCGTCTCGCGACCGACGAAGACGCAGAGCACGACGAAAGAGTCAAGCCAGCCGCCGTCGAGGAGCTTGGTCAACTTCGAGTCCTGGTAGGGCCGCCGATCCGCGGGCTCCTTGGACGTCAAGACGTTGACCAACGCCGCGAGGCCCTGCTGTGTCTTCGTGTCGTCGCCCGACGCGAGCGCCGCCACGCAGAGCGCGCCCTTTGCGGGCCGCGCGAGGAAGACGAGGCGGTGCGCGTCGGGCACGCCGCCGCAGCGGCACCGCTCATCGCGCGCGGCCGCCTCGGCCGCCGGCCGGAACTTTTTCGTTTTAGAGTCGACCGCGAGCTCGCCGTTGGCGAGCACGTCCCAGACCCGGTCCTCGCGCACGTCGACGGCGGACGCCGTCTCGAAGGCGTCCGCGAAAAATGCGATCGCCTTCGACACCTCAGCGCACGCGCCGCTGCACAAAAAGGTGCCGCGGTCGCACTCGAGGACCGGCTCGCACGCCGCCGTGAAGAAGCCCTCGTCCGACAGCCCCGCGTAGACCGCGTCAAACTGCATCTTTTTCCCCTCGTATTCGATGGATCGCTCGCCGATGTTCATCTCCTGAATGCACGGGCCGTCAAGCCGGGCGACGACGCGCAGCATCACCCGGCCCGGGCTGCCTCTCGGGAAACGCCTCTTGATTTGCAAAAAGGCCTTCGGACTGAGGAGGAGCATGCCCTTGTCGACGCCGCCGGTGGCGCTGCCGGGCGCCCCGTTCGGGAGCGGCGGGAGGCGCCTGTCCCAGGTCGACATCTTGCGATGGGGCGAGGGCGAGACCGGGAGGCCGATCGGCGGCGGAAAAGCCGCGCGCGTCGGTTTCGAGGGGCTCGAGGCCATGCGCGACGCGGCGGGCGAGACGAATTCCGGCTTGGTCTCGATGGAGAGCCCTCGGAAACTTTCGGGCACCTTGAAGGTCGGCCCGTCGTCCTTGGCCTCGGCCTTGGCCTCCGCGGGCGCCGCGTCCGCTTCGGGCGCGCGCGGCGGGTCCTTGGCCGCCTTTGGCTCGTCCCAGTACTCCGATGTGGGGAGCTCCTCCTTGTAGGCCGCATGCGCGGCCTCGGCGTGGTAGGCCGCCGCCTGCTCCTCGGCGAGGCCCGCGGCGACCTCGACGGACTCGTCGAGCGGCAAGAATTCGTCGGGCGGGTTCCACTGGCTCTCGCCGGTGGCCGTGTTGACGTAGTAGCAATAGTTCGTGTCGAGGTCCAGGAACTCGTGCCAGAGGACGTCGCCGTCCGACGAAACCGCGCCGCCGCCGGCGTCGTAGGCCCCGTCCTTGGGCCCCTCGTCCTCGGCCGCCTTGTCGTCGGCGCCGCGCCTCGCGGCGAGCTTCCAGACCGCGGCCGCCTTGGCCTGGTCCGAGGCGCCGTCGTCCCCGAGCATGCCGTGCAGGCGCTTCTGGACCGTGCCGAGCTCCGCCTCGAGGGCGCACCAGGCGACGAGGTCCGCGGCGATGGCCGACGGCGCCGCGCCGCGGGCGCCGCGGCGGCCGTCGCCGATGTCGCCGATGTCGCCGTCGCCGTCGCCGATGTCGCCGATGTCGCCGTCGCCGTCGCCGTCGGGGCCGGCGGCGTCGCCGCGGCGGTGGGCCTCGGCCTCGGCCTCGGCCCGGCTCGTGAGGGCGTCGTAGATCTCGGTCGCGTGGCTCGGGAGGTCCTCGCGGCGGTGGAGGAGCCCACGGATCGTGAGGTAGCCGAGCTCGAGGTTCGCGTCGCGGACCGCGCCGTTCCGCACGCAGCGACCCCGCGCGACGGCGACGGCGCCCCGCAGGGTCTCGCAGCGCGCCAGGGCCGCGGCAACGCGCGCGGAACGCTCGTCGTCGCCGCCGACAGCGGCGCTTTGCGCGGCCTCGGCACGCGCGGCGCTGTCCTCGAAGGCGGCCTCCTGCGCGACGCGGAGCTCGACGGCGAAGCGCTGGCGCACGAGGTCGCTGTGGAGGCGCCGCGCGCGCCGAGGCTCCTGCGCCCAATGCAGGCCGTTCATCTCGCTCGCGACGGCCACCAAGGCCTGGGCCCAGCCGACGAATGGCCGGTCCTTGTCGGGCAGCGCGCCGCGCTCGTGCGCCTCCAGCAGGCTCAGCGCCGTCGCGTGCTGCAGCTCGAAGTCGTCGTTCGCCGCCTCCGCGCTCTCGAAGGCCTCCTCCCAGACCGTCGACCATTGCCAGTCGACCCCGCCCCCCGGCGTGGTCACGGGCGTGAGATCCGCGTCGCTGTCGCTGAAAACCGAGTGCTTGGCGCCGAGCGGCGTCTCCGGCGTCGCGCGGGCCTTGGCGTCCGCCGCCGCCGACAGCTGGCGCTCGAGCTCGACGGCCTCGCCCGTCTCCAACTCGTCGTTCCGCGCCCGCATCGTCCGCGCGAATGCCGCGAAGTCGTCGATGTCCAGCAGGTCCTGCAACACGCGCTTCACCATCTCCTCGCGCGGGCCGCTCGCGGGCGACTCCGCCGTCTCCCGCAAAAAAATCGCCAGCCGCGCCTCGTCCGCCTCGCTCCGACAGCCCAGCTCCTCCAGGAGCGAGTCCAAAACCTTGGCCACGAGCGACCGGAACTGCACGTAGAGCGCGTACTCGCCCTCGCCGTGCTCCTTCTCCGTGCTGCTACCGCCGAAGAGCACGGCGTTGCGGTCCACGAAATGCGACACCTCGCTCCACTGGCCCTCGCTCACGTACCTGTGCAGCGCCTCCATCCACTCGTCCTCCATGGCAGCCCGTCGTTCGTCGGGTCAGGGTCTTCGGCAAGGTCCACGGCGCTTCTCCGAGGCGCAATAGCGTCGCATTCTAATGTCGCGACGCGTCTACGAATGTGAATGTGTACTACCCGCCGGGCTAAAAACTATCAAAAGCAACACCTCAGGAGCTGCATCGTTGCGATTATTGAAGCAATTACACGCGATGGACGCGCTCCGAGCGTGGCCGAGTCCGCAGTGGTGAAGGTGTCTCTCTGCAGTAGGTGATTGCGTGGGACGGGTTCTTCGGGCCATTGAGGCGGATTCAGCACATTTCCTACTGCAGCGGCCGACGCCGTGAAGTCGGCGTTCCGGGCCTCCATGGGGACGACGAAACGGCCGAGATCGGCACCGCGGGGTGGCCCTCCACCGCTGGAGATGTACTCGATCCCACCGGACACATACTGGGGACGGGGCTCGGGCGGTGGTGTCGGCCCAGACCGCGTTTCTGGACGTGGGGGCCGCTCGGGCTGCCGCGCCACGTTTCTATGCGCGAGTTGGCGGTCGATGTTTTCGACGTCGATGGCCGAGCGGATCAAATGGGACGCCCGCGGTACATAGACGAACGATTCCCGATGCTCCGTGCGCTCGAACACGGTCGAAAAGGGTGCGGGGGACGCCGAAAACCCTCTTCCGACCCCTTGGGACGCCCCGCGCGCGATGCGACGCAATCCTCGGGAGTGACATCCCGCGGGGAATGTGTCCGCGACAGGGTTCCGGTCCTCGCAGCCGCGGGGATCGTTGCGCAACTCT